TTTTACCCATCGAAGAGTGTACCTGTCTATGAATGCTAGCTTGGGAGGTGCTCAAATTGACTTTGATAACCTGTATTACACTTGCGCTAAAACTTTATATATTGTTATGGTGGAACATTGCTACAGTGGGAAGCCTAGGGCTAGGGAGCTAGAGTGGCACTTGGGTCTTGTGATAAAAAATAAGATGGGGTCTAGGAATTCCTCACTGTTAGAAGAGTGACATGTGCCTATGCATAGTTATGCATGTGTTCTTTGAGATTATAAAACTCACATGTGTGCTACTGAGAAAAGGGATCATAGGAGGGATCTTACATTGAACTGCTGTGGCAGGGAGCTGCAAAGACTGTTCATGATGTGTGTCAGGTACTGAGCAATTGTGCAATGTTGTTGTAAAGCACTGCAGAGATCGTATGGATCCATGGCATTGTTTAGCAGCTGCAACTGGGTAATTGTCAAATGACACTAAGTTTTGAGTAGAATCAGTGTTGACAAGAGATAAAAGGCTGTTGCTTTTTCTGTTTTGATCTTGAATGAAATTATTGTATAATAATACACTATTATATAAAGATAAGGAAGATAGATGGGCAAATCCTCCAGCAACAGAAACATGACAATGGGAATTCAGCTATGGGGTTGTGTTTGCATACATGCTGCTTTCTCTGTGATAAGGTCTGAAGACTTCTGCACAGACAGCTCTCTCTATACCTAACATAATGGACAACTGCCCTTAGAATAGTCTGCTTCTGTTTTATTTGTGCTGGAATTTGGGTGTAGACCTGTGGAGTTATGTCTAAGCCTTACTGTAGAGAGTTGTGTGCCAGGCAGTAAATGGAGGAGACTCTGAGCGTCTATGTTTTCTCCTCAGGCTGCAGGTCTTTCTGGCAGAGTGTTGGCAGCAGCACCTACTTGGTCTCAGAGTGAGTTGAGGAACAGTATAGGCATCTGGAAATGCCAGTGTTAAGCAGAAGTGACAGCCAGACGTGCATCCATGTCGGGGATGTTTTGCTTTGTTGTAATGGTGTAGTGGGAGTGTATTTATGGTGGGAGAAGTACTTTCAGATGCCCAGTGATCTGAGGCTTTGAAGTGTTCAGAGGCTGTAGCAGCAGGTAGTTCTGCAGGGACACAGCTGGGTGCTTTGCAGGTGGCTTTACAACAGCCTTGTGCATGATACATAATAGCTGAGCCTTTTCTGCTCATGCTGAGGAGTATATTAGTTGTGGGGTAGTATTCCCCGAGGGCTTGAATTGCTTTATTGGTCCTGAGGAATTTTCTGTTTTGATGGGTGTTTTTGGAATCAAAACATATTCTTGACAGATCATTTAATAAATTGATACAGTTAAAATTGATTATGTTTTTCCTTTTGGGAAGAGTGTGTTCTTCACAAATAAAGAAAAAGAATTCACACTCCTTGATTGCTTTCTTTTGTTATCAGGAGGTGTATGTGTAATATACACTCTATAGCAGTATTATAAAACCACTGTATTTAAAGTGTAAGGTGTATATAATAGCCTAGGGGAACAGAAAGTTTTCCTATTCAAGTCTTAGAAGTCACCTTTCCAGTTCCAGTAGTGTGTTAGAGCTTTGCCTCTCTTGCTGTGAATTACACCTCGTTAGTGGTTTGGGATTTCTTTTTCCTTTTTGTCTGTAAGTGGATAAATGCAAAGGGAAAACTGAGAGTAAGAGTATGATCCTCCTCCCATTGTTCTCAGTGATCAAAAACCTTTTAAAACATATGAACACCTAGGTCATCTGGAAGGATCCTAACTATAAAAGAATCAGAATGGTCTTGGTGTATCTCCTGGAGTGATGATCCTTAAATTGCACAATCATGTAACAGGATAGGCATTTAATAAGACACCTTTTATCTCTGATGTCTAATGGTGATAGTGATGTATGTTTTGGATGTGTTTGTTTAGCTTCGTGCTTTGGAGTTGTATATATTTCATATTCACTGTTACTCACATGGCTTTTGGTAGTATGGGCTTTCTTAACATCTCATTAATTTTCCATCTGCTGTAGAACTCATTTCTCCCATGAGGTGTATAATGTTATCTTACAAAAGTTTTACATCTTCCAAATCCCAGTGATTCACACTTCCCTTACGTTTTTTTGTTATTTTACCAAGACTGGATTTAACTCTGTCTTGATCTTTAGTTGTTTTTCTAGTCTTGGTGATCCTAATTCAGTTGGGACTAAGGCTAGTGTTCAGAAAACTGTTGATGAGTATAGTCATTTTGGATACTTAATGCAAGAGGGTAATTTTGGTGAAAAGTGTCTGGAATCTTTCTAAAATAACTCAGTTAGGTTCATGTGCTTTTATAATACAGAAGAGCTGTTTGGAATCCTGTGTTTGTTTTGACCACAGCAGATTGTTCCTTACGTATAATCCAGAAATGGTTCTTACTTCATGTATTTAGGTGTAAAAATCAGGTCATTAATCACTGAAGTAACTGTAATTGCCTGCAAACTTTTTCTTTCAGTGAGGTCCCTCTTCTGGATTAGGTATGAAAATACGGAAAGGATGCTTGAAAGACAAATAACATCGTCATTCTCCTCCTGCACTTTTATTGGTATACTCAGTGGGTGGATTGCTTATTAATGAAAGCAGCTTTGGGTAATTCAGTGACCTGGTCTTGGCACTGTTGAAGGCAGTGATACTTTGCCATTAACTTTAATGGAAGCAGAGTTGACACTCTTAAATGAGATTTCTAAAGTAGTTAAATTTAATACCGTTACGGGCTGGATATTTTACTATCATTTGACTGGCTCCTTCAATTTCTTGCACTTTTGTGTCCAAGTGGGTGGTGGTTGGTTGAATCTGTGAACGCATGCCTTGTAGCTGGGTTTTGTTTATTCAGTGAGTAAATGTTTTCTCTATTGAAGTGAAGCCCTTGCCAGAGGTCATCTGTTAGCTACAGTTACAGATCTTAGTGGGTAGTAAAATCTCAGTCCCGTAAGAAATTCTTCCACTTTCTTCTCCTAGTATTATGTAGAGTCAGTTTACACTGCTCAGAAAAATACAACAGTCTCTTCAGTAACTTAGTAAAAACATTGTGTGTTTTCACTGTGCATTCACCAGTTTTATGTGCAAGGAAACAGCTATTACAGAACTATGTAAGAAACTATTTTTTCCCTTATTCATTGTAGGAAGTTAGTTGGCATGGAAAAAATACTCATTATAATATATCCTGAGGAAGACTGGCTGTGTTTGAGTTGTCCCTTATGCATGGAAATTTTATTTAGTGCGCTTTTGTATAGCGCTTTAAAAAAGTAATTTAAAATGAAGATTCTGTAGTTTTGGTGCTAAGAGTTGACTTTTCATGTTGTGTGGGATAGTTAATCAATCCAGTGGCCTAACCCTTGTGTACATGGACTGTGTCTGAAATAGAAGTACACATTTAAGACATTGTTTTGATGTATAGCATCTGCAGATGACACAGTAAAGAAATGGAGATGGAAGATACAGTAGGGATTATTTTACTCCTCACCTTTATGGCATGAAAGAGACCTGGAAATCGATCTTTTATACCCACATTAAAAAAAAAAAAGCAGCCCATATGTTTGCTTACTTGTCTTCAGTTTATGGTAAGTTGTCATCAGAGCTGAATTAAAGCACATGGGTAAAGATCCAGAAGTACCTCATACTGCTGCTGCTCTAATTTTGCCAGATGCATGCATGACTTGGGAACAACTGTATTAAAGCCTCCAGACTCACCAGCTCTTCTCCCACAGAAACTTCAGAATCAAACACCACTTTGCCAATACAGCTTGTTGTTCTTAATTCTTTATCTTGTATGCAGGCTCCTTCCCCTAGGTCCAACAGTGTACAAAACACTCAGATCCACAAATGAATTAGGAATTTCAAAGTATCCGACTTGTTGGTGCAGTGGTCTAACTAGCTGAATACCTCAGTGGCAGATAGTTGGTCAGATATTAATGTCTTGCCAATGGAAAATATCAGAACCCATGAGAACTGAATATTAATCTGTGTGGGTATGTATGTGGTCTGTATCTTCTAGTGAGGCTGTTGATTAAAGAAATCACATCTGTCTGAATGTTAAAATGTTAATATTTATATTGTTACATTGCAGGAAAAATCTGTTTTTCTGTTGTGAATTTTAGCTGTATATCTGAAACTTTTTGAGTGATTTCACTTATTCCCTTCTGACTTTTTTAGGCTGAGTTTGGGTAGGGGCTGATAGGATCCTCAGAAGGAGTTTATACTGCTGCTTGTGTTTTTTCCTTAGTTTTTAAGAGAACATTTAAATGGAATGGTAGTTAAATGATCTTGGGAGTCTGGCTTTCCACACAGATTAGTCAATGGCAGTTGGTTACTTTTTTCCTTCTTTTTTTTTCTTTTTTTCCCTTCATAGAAATAGAAAATTGTAATTGTAAATTAGGGGGAAAAGTGCCCATGACTTTTTAAAAACCTTCCAAATCACCAGCTTTTATGTTAATACACTAACATTTGCTTAAAATAATCTTTTCTATATTCTTACCTCAGAAGATAAGATTTTTAGCTGTTTGCTGTGTACCTTGCCTCAATTTTGACCATTATGCATGTTCTGCGTAATGTCTGTTATTCATTGCTGTGTTACAGAGTGGTTTTTATTGGGGCAGATTCCTTAATGTATTGCTAGCTGAAAAAAGAAGACAAAAGCATAACTACAACATAACGAATTCTTCTGATGACTTGTTACTCAGTCATATCTTTCCAATGAAAGTCTTGGACACTTTGAAAATGATTTTTGTTTTTAATAACTTATCCTATCCTATGCAATCTGTTTTTGAACAGTGCTGTCTGATCCCCAAGAGGTTTCTGTTGGATGATGTGAGGCCGTGTTGCTCTTATGGACTGTAGCTTTACACTTTTTACTCCTAGCATCTATGTGCACAGGCAGTGAGGAAATGAAGCAGTGTGGGAAGGCCTTTGCATCGGTTTTGTTTTACTTGTCTACAATTAATGCCCAGAGTTGCAAAATCTGTATTCATCCTTCAGAGTTCAGCATGTAGGTCCTAACTTCCCTATCATATAGACCTTATTACAAGTCCTTCATCTCTCCAACACATAAGGATTTATTGGCTTTTTTTTTCATTGCTGCTGTGTAGTTGGCAGTGGAAAATACCTGCTGTACCTGTAAATCTTACTGAATTAAAATTAGTTGATTTGCACAGGTATAATATACTCTGGTGTCAAAGCACTACCTTGTCAATGGAGTGTAGATTCTTTCTCTTTTTCCTTTTCTCCTGTTACAATATTTTTGAAAGCTGACAGAGACTTTGTCAAAAGGTTTCAAGGCAAAAAGGTGTAATTTGTTTGGAATATAATGAGTAATTATGCAGACAAAAATTGTACAACCACACTGAGAGATTTGCTCAGGAGAAGAGACAACAGCTTGTTTTGTGGGCTCTACTGTGTGTGCATGGCAGTGTGCTTCATTTTGAAAAGGCTTGCTCTGGTAAAAATTGGGTAACTGATGCAGATACTTAGGACATCAATACATTAGCTTCAAAGAGTATATCTCAGGCTATCAGCAGACCTCCTGGTCAGTTATTAATCTGCAGAAAGTGGTTTACTGATGCTCAGGGGGAAGCATGTTATGAGGTAGCTTTCTTCAGATGCTGGGTGGAGGGCTGATAAGTGCAGTGCAGCCAATACGTGCATGTTACCAGTAGAAAATTATAAACAAAACAAAACCAGAAGAATGATCACAGAAGTTTATGACTGAGTAACTTTTATTTTCTGGATTATTTTGAAAGAGTTTTTTGGAGGTTTGTCATAGAAGCCTGACTCTGGCTTGCCTTACTCATATAGTCCCACTGAAGTCACTGGGCCTTCTTGGGTGTGCAGAGAGAGCAAAGGCTTTTATTGCTAGATGGCAGCAGTATCTGCAATGATGATTTCTGTATCCTAGGTCTGTCCACCTGGTCCCAGCATTCCAGATCTCGACATCGGAGGACTTCGTGTTCCAGACATGAAGATCGAAAACCTTCTGAGGTATTTCTGGAATTTGATTTGCATTTTGTTACATCTATCGAATACAAACTCGTATACATGTTCTGGTAATGGATCCATTTCTTCTCATTTGCATTTTCTTTTCTTTTTGCCACATTTTAGCTGGCACCTGCCCCTCACTCCCCCCCCCCCCCTTTTTTTTTTTTATTTGCCAGGAGATTAGGGAGTTCAGCTGTTGGCACAGCCACTGCCAGCACCAGTTCTATCTGTGAATTTTGTTACAGTCTGACACCCATTCAACATAGGGGCGGAGTCTGTCTTCTGGTATTTTAGGCATCAGGGTTTCTTTGTAGCTTGATTTGTGAACAGTGAAAATTTACATTAGGTGCATTTATTTCGTAGTTGGTATTGGGTCTTGGTATGTGATCTTTGTTAAAGTACTTGTCAAACTAGAAGTCTGCTTCCTGACAGTTCTGTCTTGCATTGTGCTTTGAGGAAATCCTATCAAGGGAAATACAAATCTTTGAACTTTCCAGGATGGATCAACTGTTAGTAACACATAAATGTGATCCGGTTCTTTGGAAATATTCTTGCTGAATCTCCCTATCTTCAGGTAAATACTACATTGCAGACTTTGTAGAGGCTGCAAAGAAAGCATTAGCTTCAGGAGATGGAATTTTTTCATTTAACTTACTTGCCCAATACATGTGTTTCTGATGCATTAGTGAGTGATTGATGTTGAGAAAAAACATGCTTTATAAATCTCTCCAATGACAGTATACCTAAGTCCCAGAGAAGAGTTTTCACAAGAAGAATCCTATTCATTGTTCAGTGTGAACTACATCTAGTACTGGTGTTTTCCAGTCTTCTTTTTTGATTGTTGGCTGTTAAAGACCTTTTTTTTTTTTTTTTTTTTTTTTTTTGGTGGATGTGAAGACCCCTGGTGAATTTATTCTTGCTGGTGATAGCCTTGCTTTCCTTAGTTGAGTTGTCTCTTGTACATCCTTTAGAAGTAGCCCCTTAGACCCAGTTTTGAGAACTACCTCATGAAAGGCTATGAAGAAATCATCTGAGATAATTACAAATCTTGCTGTTGGTTTTTGTGTGCTTCTGTTTTCTCCTCTCCCTTTCGTTGCATTTGTTGTCAGAATCTTTGCAGTTTTGTGCTGTTCTCTTGTTTTCTCAGCCTGGATGGACTTCTCATATACTTCCCTTCAGCTCTGTTCCACAGTCTTTTGCCCCCTCCCTCTCTCTCTCCCTCCCTCCGTTTGCATTCTCTCTGCTCACCACAGCACACTATTCCGATGATAAGTGTGCTGGCAGAAAAGTGACACTTGCTAAACTCCCCAGGTGAAATCCTGGTCTCGTTGAAGTTGGCAAAATTCCCATTGACTTCAGCGTGGCCAGCGTTTCACCCTTTAGCTTTGAAGTGTTCAGTGCTTCTGAGAGCCAGCACTTCTGTAAGCTGTGCTTTGCTCTGGGCAGTCTGATTCCATCAGAAACTAGAGCAGAAAGAATGGTGTCACAGGGCCACTGGCCTGGGAAGGGGTTTCTTGGCTGTCAGGTGCTGCATTAGCTTTGCTTTTGAGGGAGTTTTGCGACAAATTTATCTGAGCGCCTGAGTTACTTTGGTTTTCGGATTGAGCAAGTTTTGCGTCCCATTTATATTTTTAGTTGTCTTTTCATTTGACATTTGATTGCTTTAATTCAAATTGCTTCGAAGTACAGAATCCCCTGGCCAGCTGTGCTTGTTTGTTTTTTGTGAGCCAGTTTACTTTGTGGCTTATTTTTCATTTCTTGATTGGAGCCTCATAGGACTTGTAATTTGATTGTTTAAAACATCTCATTATATTTCATTACCTGCATTCACCCTTTCCTTCATATGGTAATTTCAGTCTTTAGTTTTTTTAAGTTGGCAGTTTTTCTGAACATGTCAAGACAAATGTTAAGAAAAATGTCATGATTTTATGCTATTTTTATGACAAAACCAGAGTGAAAACGGAAACATACTGAGACAGAAGTGGGATAGTACGTGTGTGTTGGGAGGGAGGAGAGGTTTCACGATGTGCAGTGTGGTAAGGGAAAATCACACTTTGAAATATTCTCCAAAGTGTAATTAACCATCAGGTTCACTGTTTCCCTAAAATGCTTCCCAAAATTGTAGGGGATCTATTGAGATTTCAGGTGTGTGAATAGTGTGTGACAGAAATTGCTGTCCTGGGGAGGCCTGCTTAATTAGCACTGTATAGATCTGGTTCTTCCTCAGCCATATGCAACAGTTGGCTGGAGCTAACGTAAAACAGCCGGTGTCACCACTGGTTTGGGACTGGGTAGGAGATGGGAGGTTGTGTCACTTTGCCCCATTAGCAGCCCCATAAGAGTATCTAGGAGCACTGCCCTGATAATCTGTCTTTTCCTTTGTAACTCTGCAAGGTGGGGCTGGGTAGGCGTTGACTCTCTCTACCACAAACTGAGAAGTCTGCAGGGGAACTTCTCTTAAGATGTTACCTACCTTTTCCTTGTCGTTATTGGTGGTGCTTATCTTCTGTCACTTGCTTGCTTTTTAACCCTTTCCTTTGAATGTGGCATTAGGTAGTTAAACATTTGTGGTTGTGGAGGTGAGGAGTGCTGAGTGCAGTTGCTGTAGTCTACAGCAGCCTTGCCTTACGGGGAGAGCTGGAATACGTGTAAACAAGTGCAGGCTTGTAGTTCTGATGCCTGTGATAGCACCCTTTGATTTCTGCAGTGCTGACAGGCAGTGGCAAACCAGGCTGTAGCTGCCAAAACAGTACCACAGCATGCCCACTACAAGAGTGAATCCCTTTTTATTTCATTCTATGGCTTGTTGAAGACAGCATCGCTGCTTGTTTATGGCTGCTAACCCAAAAGTTGCCAAACATCCTGCTTATTTTAGAGGTGGATGCCTTTGCAAAGGCAAAGTAAAATTATAGCTATGATGCAGAGATGTCAGTAGCTGATTGAAGAACAAGCACCTGTGCTGAACATGGAGCTTCCACCAGAATTTCAATTTGGGTCTTATTTTATTTGGGTTATTATTTTAAATACTTGCACAAAGAGTCATCTCCTTAGAATTTCCTTTTGCGGCTGGTCATGGTGGAGTCACGCCTTGATTTCTACCACAGGGAATTTCTAGAATGTCTTTTTATTAGTCAGAGCTCCAATAATTAAAAAAACCCAAAAAACCTTGGAGCAAAAATGAATCTTCCTTGTGCTGCTGTTTTAGGACGCAAAGCTCCTGCAGCTTTTATTGCAGCCAAAATGGAGGAAAAAGTGGGTAGCACCTTTTAGCATCATGTCTCCAGTGCAGGGGGAGCGCCAGGACTTGCAGTGGAGTTAGCTGGAAGTCATTCTATCAGTATTTGCACCTTCAGCCACCCCTTTCCCTGCGATGAAGCTGAACTTCTGTCCTGCAGTGGGCTGGGTTAGTTCACTGTTGATACAGTGACCTTGTTACACACTGTGCTCCATGGTTACCCTGAAGCTGTGAATCATAGAGTGTAAATATCAAATGTCAGTGTCTCTATTTTTCTCTCTTGGTCACTCTCTTTGCAGGTGTTCAGAACGGACCTGATCACTGCCATGAAGTTACATGACTCCTTCCAGCTGAACCCAGATGAATACTATGTGCTGGCAGACCCCTGGAGGCAGGAGTGGGAAAAGGGAGTTCAGGTGCCAGTTAGCCCAGGGACCATCCCAGAACCAGTAGCCAGGTATAGTTTGGAGGAATGTAAACATACACATACGTTTATGCTAGCAGCTTATGTCTACGTTGCCTTGGCTTCTTGAGCTTTACTCCACGGTGTCTAGGTAGAAAGGTCTTGGTTCTCAGAAACGAAGAGCAACCTGCCTCAGCTTTTTGAATGGTTGGAGAGGTCAAGACTCAAGCCTGTTCTGCCTGAGTTGAAATATGAATGTCAGAGAATCATTTTTGGCATTACATTAGGATGGAGTGTGATGACAGAACCTTAAAAATAGCTTCTATTTTTAAGCCCAGACTTGACCTCACTCAGCATTGCTGGGAGAGCCCTTGTCTGATGCTTCTTGTGCTTAGTTCCAAGCCAAAGGTTCCTTTCAAGGAACAGTTAGACAAGCCAGATTTAAGGGCTAGAGAAAATACAGCATTTATTTTGGTTTCACGTATTTTTTTGGTTGTTTCATTTACTAACTTAGGAAATTGTTTGTTGTACAACGTTTCGGCTGTTTTAAGAGCCATCCAGATGTGCATGTAACTAAATACATTAATGTGAGATTTTCTAGCCCTTATTTTCCTTACCTTGTTTGTTACACTTAGGTGGTGTTTTCTGTTTCAAATTAAACAGTACAGTTGTAAGGGTGGGAGCGTGCTGCAGCCCATCTATCTATTTTATGCTTAGTTGGGATTGGAGTTGGAAAAAGTGAGAAGAACAAGGATTATTGCCATTTAATCATACTAGATCTCTTTGAGTAAGTCCAGGCTGGCCCACAAGGTGTTACCAAATGACCCACCAGTGCTGGTGGGGCCAGAACAGCCCACTCTCTGATACACAGCAAAATATTCTGGATAACGCTACACTGCTTCTGTTAGGTCTGCATCTGCCAGCTTTAACCTTGGAGTTGGGGGACTACAGGAATGTTTGTTAGCGCTTTTTGTGTTCTGTGCAGCAACCTGCAGCCCCACTAGGTCTGTATAACGAGGAACTTACCCGCGCATCAGGTAAACCCTTTCCTTCCTTCTCCTTCTGAAGGATTGGATCTGGAGCTCCAAGGAGAACTCGGCATTTTGCTCACTGCTGTGCCGTTTAGAACATGGGAGCATACCGTTTCCCTGCAGTGCTCGTAGCCTGCTCCACACTGACCTCACCCAGTCCCTGCATAAATGCACACACACTGTACACATGTGCTCACATTGTCTTCTCCTCACTGCTTTCTTTTTCAAGCATCTCCCAAGGCTGCAGTAGGGCCAGGAGACCTGTGGACTTTAGCAGAGGGAGACGTTCAGAGAGCTGGTTTGGTGGCTATATCACTCACTCAGGAGAGAGCTTTTCTCTGCCAATGGCCAACAGAGATGTTGCTCCAAATTTAAGATATAAGGCACCCACAGTTGTAGGTATCATCACGGGAGGCACCACTCTTTTTTAGCTGCTGAGCTATCTTGTGTGGTCCTGCTGGTGAGCACCTGTGGGTCAGAGTGGCCCTCTGATGCCTGATTATTATCCTATTTGCTCCCTCACAAAACACTTGGAGAGCCCTGCCGTGGTGGTGCTGGAGTGCTAGAACTGTTCTGTGCCTAACTTTGGGAGGGGAGGGAGCTGTTCTGTAAATTGAATCAGCAATAGTCAAATAGTAGCTGGTGTAGAACAGAAGCAAAATACAGTACAGATAGCTGATGCTAATGAGGTACATAATGGAGAATAAAAGGTTTTGGCCTTGTAGGAACTGGTCGGCGCAGCAAGAGTAGGCTCAGAGGGGTGGGGAAAGGAGTGAGTCTGTGTGGTGATTCAGTGTAAGCATGTGGTCAGACGGATAATTCAGTTGGATATGTTTTTTGGTAGGTAGTAAGTGTTGCTTTTTTTTACTTCTTTCTATCACAGCAATAAAGAGATGAAGGGGTTTGTTTTGAAGCCAGACTACCTATGCTTATTTCTTCTGTGCCACTACAGTGGTATTTAGACAGCATGTGCAGAGTGCTGCCCAGAGGTTATGATTTCCACATGGAGAGGTACTCATGAAGGAATTTATGGTACAGAAGATTCGGAGAGCAGTGCCCAGTTTAAAGTAAATTCTCTACGAGATGTGGTAGTCTGTAATATTTTAATACTGTGCAGTGTGACCGGGAACAGTTTGGGCAGTGCAGTTAGGCTGGCAAGGTCATTCAGATTCGTATTCTTCCACAGTCCCCTTCTGCACCTCAGAAGCCCCAAATTCAGCATTTGGCTCTTGCCCACCATTTCTCAGACTGTTGTTTGAAATAAGCTCGATGAGGGGAAGATTTAGGGCTGTGCTGGAGGCTGAAATAGGTAGAGGATTTACTGAGATTTATGTGTGCAGATACAGTAGTGGCAGATCAGGGTCTTCTGACAGGAGGACGAGTTAACACGTTGGACCTCAGGTGGGGGCAAAATAGGGTGGAGGGTGTCCTGCTTGTTGTGGAGCTTAGGCTGTTCCCAGCAGAAAGTTGTGTCTACACAGAGTGGTGCTATTTCCTCCCTTGTAGCACTAGAGCACCAAAGAAATCATCAGCGCTGGTGCTGCAGGAGGCAGTCGTTTTGGCAGCGTGGCCTGTTGCTCCTGGACATACCAGCGTTACGTTGTGAAGTGGGTTTCATCCAAACTGAATGTCAGCATGTGCAGTTAACTAAGAGAAGGTGCAGTGTCCTCTACTGAGAGAATTGCACTGCTGGTGGACTGACAGAGTTATCTTGCTGTTTGGAGGCAAGTCACCAGCTTGCTGGTTAGAATGACTGCTGTCCTTTGTGAATTGGGCGGTTTTGCTCCCAGCTCCTGGCTTTGCAAAGTTGCGGCATTGCAGGAATCTGACCTAGAACAAGTTATGTGCTGTAGGTACTTTACCGTTTCCTGAACCAATGCCTGTGGTCGAACAAAATTTCAGTTGGCTTGCAGCTAAAATATGCTTTCATGGTTGGTTGTTGGCCAACTGGAGCCTCCAAAGCCTGAGAGAAGGTAGTTTTAGCAGCGGCTGATTAATATTTGCGCTTGGCCCAGCATGACATTAGTGATTGTGAAAGAGGAAATGCAGACCCAGAATGCCAGAGCTTGGATCTGCTTGGGTAGGTGAAGGTGAAGCTAGTGCAAATTACTGATTCTCTGTGGAAAGGTTTTCTGACTTTCACAAGGGTGGCAATTCTGTAGCTACACACACACATAGAAAAAGAAATCAGAAGAAACATACTGTAAGAAAGAAAACTTCAAATATAGCAGGAAATACTACTTTTTGCCTTGAATTTTCTTGGTCTTGGTATTGTAGTTGAACAGCTTGATTTAAAAAAAGTCTTAAAACGGAGTTTAACATCTGTGTATATGGCAGCTATCGCTACATAAATACAGTGTTCCTACTCTAGCTTTAAACAAGTGTGAATTTCAGGTAAGAGTAAGCACAGCTCTATCCTCTAATCTTTTCATTTTATTTAGAATTCTGGTAATGAATTGGGTTTCTAGACAACTCCAATTAATTTTTTTATAATGCCGCCATTCCATTATGGAAGTCCACAGTACTGTCTTCTCTTCCCATCTCAGTGGTGCAAGATGATTGCTTAGATGGTTAGATGATTGCTGATGATTGTTAGTCATTAGAATGAGGCATTTTGAATTCTCTAGAAACAAGTCTCTCAGCAACCCAGCATACCTGACGTCTGCTTGTCTGTTTGTTTTAGGATTGTGTCTGAGACGAAAGCTGTCACGTTTACGCGTCCCAGGAAGTACATTGTTTCATCAGGTTCGGAGCCTCCAGAATTGGGTTATGTTGACATTCGAACCTTAGCAGACAGCGTGTGTCGCTACGATCTCAATGATGTGGACGTAGCATGGTTGCAACTTGCTAATGAAGAATTCAAAGAAATGGGTGAGCAATGAGTGCTTTTGTTGCTTTTTTTTTTTTTTAAAGCTGGCAATCTTGAGAATAATTTTAGGGAGGGCAGCAGTGGGAAGAGATGATAGAGGTATGAAGAGATAGTAATCATATGAGTTGGGGTAGCCACGGGAAACCAGACCTGATGTGATTAAACCCTAAGATACATGCTTTCGTAACTGCTGAGCTGTATCTGCTTAGACCAGGTCAGAATCTGGCCACATGTTTTTTTTCTCTGCTGCTTTCCTTTTCACGAGGGAATTCTCACAAAGTTCCCATTTTGCCATCAAGGTCCTTGAAGAGAACATCAGAGACACCATTCAGGTAGTTTTTCCAGTTAGTCCTTTTTTATATTTATATATTTTTCTCTGTGTCACATATCCGTATCATCTTTTTAGCTAGTGGTGTTCAGTGCGAAGAAGGTAGACAAGGAGTCTTGGGAGGTTTAGAGAACCTTTGCGAGCTGAATTGCGCAGGGAATGAGACAGTAAGGAATTCCTGGAGTGATTTATTGGAGGAACCTGCCAAAACTTACTATGAGCATCTGCTTTAGTTCTGAAGCAGGAAGAGGAGCTGTCCCAAGGGGAGTGACTGTTCCCTTTTCTACAGGATGGCTTCTGTGCGGGAAGGGGCAGGGGAGCGGGGCAAGAACAGGAACGTTTCTTTGGTAGAGTGTGTGCTTCATGAGAGGATTTCAATGGAATTGAAGAGGATGTAAGTCAGCACAGAACTTTTCACCACGTTGTTTAGGTAAGGGAAAAGATGCTGTGCCAGGTGGAAGAGGTTTGGACATGTTGGTGAACACTGTTGGGTTTTGTTTTAGCATTGTGGCAGTTCCCTGCTTTGGGTTACAGTTTACTTACACGGGTTTTACCTGGCTGTAGCCCATACGTGGCATGGCTCAAGACCTGGTAAACCACAAACTGACCATTTATAACTCGTTTCTCCTCTTTAAACCCACATATGGAAGAAACAGATGAACCCAGCCTTGAACTGGTCTCTTACCTAAGCCTTTTTTCCGGATCTCAAGTCAGGCCTGCTCAGGTTTAGTGTTGGGCTTAGACGATTTCAAAACAGTTCATGATTCAAAAGTTTAGATTACTTTTCCAGTTATCCTCAGGAAAACAGCAGCAGCAAGTCCCCTTAGCTTTCTTCAAAGAAAAATTTAAAATACTTTTTATTTGTAATTGATACCCGTCTCTGCAATGTAGGTAATCCCCTCTGTCTGTCTTTTGCCAAAACCAGAGGAGGGCTACCACAGCATTATGCTGGGGTGTGAATAGCATTAGTGATAAAGCACACAAGAGGGGCTCTTCATCGTGCAAATTTGTACATGTGCATGAAGCCCTGAGGCAGCCATTCTGCTACACCAACATAAGTACACGTTGCACATGAAACACCGAACAGCTAGAATTTGGCAGATCTGATCTTTGATGATGTGTTTTGGTGTAGTTTCTTGTAGTTGGTTTGCTCTAAATCTTTATCCGCTCAGTTTTGCTGTACGCAGAGGGAAGGAAATGCTCCTGTCGGTACCAGGCAGTACATTGTGGGTCTTGAAATGCGTACCTGGGTGCTCTATCAGACGCTGCACTCTACAGATACCATTAACGGGCATTTGAAAAGTGAAGTATTTCCTGATCTGCAGTTGTAGTACTTCCTTTACGGTGTCCCTGCAGCTATGAATTTCCTGTGCTTTCTTTGATACCTATCGGAGTGCTTCAGGTACTAAAAATGTATATTCAGTCTTTATAAGAATGAATGTAAACTTTTGAACTGAAGCTGCAATCCCTTGATTCCCTTTTTTTTAACCCTTATAAATGCATAGTCAATGACATATCTCTGAGTGTTTTTTATAAAGTGATAGCAATCATGAGGTCAGAATTTAGTTGCAAACTGGTGTAAAACCTGCCATCATCTGCTTTGCCGGTGCAGTATTTCTGGGCTGCAGGGCAAAATTCACTCTCTCATCAGCAGGATTTTGGATGTTCCCTCTCACTACCTTTCAGCTGCTCAGTTTGGGTAGTATGGGATGCATTGACCTCTGCTGCAAGGGTTTACCTGTCAGTAAGGGAAGCTGGAAGTACTTTTGTGGAGTGTTTGTCTTCCGATATGGGGGAGCTAGAGAGGTTTTCTTCTTCTTCATTTTGTGGAATTTGTGGCTCAGTTATTCACAGGGAGAGCCAAAGGAAGGATTTTCTTGTTAAAACACATATCATGAGGTTGCCATCTTCTGTACGTCACAGTAAACGTTAGGTATTGGGAATTAGACTAAAAGCAGGATATCCTAAGCCTACGCTTCATTGTAGTGATTTAAGTATATGGAAATTCTTGTGCTAAACTGACTTCGCAAGAGGAAAATGATTGTTTGCAGTAGCGTAGCTTTCTTGGTTTCACAGGTGTTTGTGTGGCATGATTTTGTGGTAAAGGTTTGTGTAGTACCAACTTGGAAGCATTACAGCCAGCTCATTGTCATGGCAAGTGAGAGATGGAAGCTAGTGGGGGAAGCGCTGTGCCCTTTTTTGATACTTTTCTCGCTGCTTCTATGATAGATATTTTTTCAGGTCTATAATAGTAACTTAATATAATTAACAATTTTGAATTATAGATTACTATAATGTAATCAGCCTATAGCTGTGGTGTCATGAATAATTTCTGATGGATGCTGTTTGAAAAGACCAAATCCCAGATTTGATGTTGCATTTATTACAACTGTGTTTCTCCCTTTTTAAAACAAACTAATTTATTGGTGTAGCAGGGTCTGATGAAGACCTCAGTTGGGGTTGCACCCTGTTGGGTTGGAACTTGTAAAAAACCAACAACTGTTTTTAGAAACTGCAAGTTTGCTACAAGTATCATAGCAGATTTTGTCATTGATTTCCCCCCTCTAGTCCCATCATTTTTGGTTCAAAACGCTCTCAAATCTTTCACCAAAGAGTCAACATCAGGGTTGCAAAATTGAAGCAAAAGCCATAGACAGTGCTGTCCTAGAAGGAAAAATGAGAACAAGACCAGGAAGCCAAAATCAGTTTATGAAAGTTTTTCTCAGGATTTTGAAAGATTGGTTTGGATACTCTGCTTCTATTAGTTTAATACAATTATAAGACGACTTTGACTACTTCTTTTTACAGTTTCCCTAGTTTATGCTGGAATAGGCGTGATTGTCTAGGAATGACATGTGTACATGTGGGCGTTGGCTGTATCTACTCAGCTGTTCAAAAAGAAGCTGGAGTCTCTTTCCTTTAAATAAGTAATAACAACTCCTGTTTCCCAGGGATGCCTGAGCTGGACGAGTACACGATGGAAAGGGTCATAGAGGAGTTTGAACAACGATGCTATGATAACATGAATCACGCTATCGAGACGGAAGAAGGACTTGGGATTGAATATGATGAAGATGTTGTCTGTGACGTCTGTCAATCTCCAGATGGAGAAGACGGCAACGAAATGGTGTTTTGTGACAAATGCAATATTTGTGTGCACCAGGTATGGCGGCCAGGGCACAGCGGGGGAGCATAGGGGTGGCGGCAGAAACTTTTCCAAACCATTCAAGATAACAGGTTGGATTTTTTCCAGTGACAGACATTGATCTGTTAAGTTCTTGCAGAATTCACCATTGAGCGGTGGGATGAATTCAAAATTATGTAACTGAGAAGGAGAATTGTTACATGTAATTCCAGAAATGTCATGCTTCATTACAGAAAGTGGTATTGAGTCTGTGTGGAGGAAGTTACAAGGGTGAGGAATAGCCTCCCCAAAACATACACGTCTGTATTGTTGTACATTCTCACCTGGTCACTTCTCTTGCTGTATTCTTTTCCTCTCTTTCTGCACACTTCTGGGGCTAACACACCTTTAGTATCAGCAACTAAGGCTCAGCAGAACGGGAAAAAAGAACTTTAGGCAATCAGTAGGGACACAGGTAGGATTTATTATAGTTATTTTAATTTAATGGAGAACCTACTGACCTGAGCTGAGCTAACGAAGCACTATTAGGTGCCACCTTTCTGTGGCAGTTAAGAAGTTGTCTTAGCATGAAAGAACAGATACAATTTTAGCATAGCTGTTTCCGTGGATGGTTCTTACTGTGGCAGATGCCTTTCCATCAGCCTGTCTTTCCTTCCCAGCTTTTAAGAAGTTTGCTTTGTCATTCAGTGTTCAGAAAACTGTGGTGTCCGATGAGCAAGAATGGCATTTTCTTGCATGTGTTACTTAAATGCATTTGTACTAATGATAAAGAAATACGCCTATGGCAGCTGTAAGGTACAAATGGCTATCTTGCAAGATACTCAGAGTAAAGTGGATGTTTTTAGACCTGTAGCGGTTCTTTGATCCTTAGTCTCTGATGACATAAAATCTGAAACTTAAGAGGGTTAAAATTTGGACGAAGGTCTCCATAAAGATACAATCTTCTGGAAAAAGTGATCTTTCTTAGTTGCTGTTCTGCACTTTTCCCTCTGAATAAGAAGTAAACCCCAATGCTTTGGAATAACATCGAGTACTGCACAGCAGAGCTCTTGAATTTGTGGTTCTTGCCTTTTGAATTAGATACAGTCCAGTTCTTGTTACTTTTAGTCTTTGTGATACTGAACTTCATCCTAGCTCACTGCTGGCAGGGTTGTCTGTCGGGAGTCCCCTTGCTCTTTGGGCTGGTAAACACATTCTTCATTTTCCTAACTGAAGTGGGCAGTGGTTTTTTGCATAACCGCTAGTGATGACTTGTGCTCCTTTCACTGAAAGATCTTTTTGGGGAATGAATGGGTAATGTGGTTGGCCAAGTTTATGAAAGCGTCCTGAGATCCTCCACAAGCTAATGTTTCTATCATGTTAGAAATTCCATAAAGAACATTTTGAGAGTTGTGAGAGGCTATGTGTAAACAGCTAAAAAGTAACAGAAATGCATGTCGTTTCCTTTGTTTTCTTTCCCTTTTCTGTAAATGGGAATACAGGCATGTTACGGGATCCTGAAGGTGCCGGAAGGCAGCTGGCTGTGCAGGACCTGCGCGCTTGGCGTTCAGCCCAAGTGTTTGCTGTGTCCCAAGAAGGGTGGTGCCATGAAACCGACCCGGAGTGGCACCAAGTGGGTCCACGTTAGCTGTGCTCTCTGGATTCCAGAGGTAGGTGCCAATCCTCCAGGAATTCAGGGATGCAGTGATTCTGGGAGAGAAGAAATCTGTTGAAAACATTGTTCAACCTAGCGCATGTTGCTACACGGAGTGTAGCATATATATGGTACTTCTTAGGAAGACAGTATAAAAGATTTTCAATTAGATGAGAAGTCTGGCAGGATGAAGCATCATCTGTAAAGAAAGTAATTACATTCCCTTTGTCAACCAAAACAAGGCCTCAAAAAATTAGGCCTTTGCTGCTGGCAAAGCTCATTTAACAAGCACACAAAGTACCGTTTTATTTTGTAAACGGAACATTTAAAGGTGAATCAGGAAGGTTTGGATGTGACACTGAGAATTCCTGTGGGTTCTCATAATCAAAATACTCATCCTGTATGATAATTTTAAATTGGAGGGCTTCACCTTGAAACGGTTTTGTTCATGCAGTGAGGAACTGATTTTTTAAAAAAGGAATTTTTTTATTTTCTTATAAACTGAGGAACTTGGAACATGCTAATTTTGCATATACACACAAGGAATTTGATTTCTTTGATAAAATTGTTTCCCTTTTCAGTTAACAGTGTAATAGTCACTCTGTGGTTTTTAATCTTTTTTCTCTTAGGTGAGCATTGGAAGCCCTGAAAAAATGGAGCCCATTACAAAGGTTTCTCACATTCCCAGCAGTAGATGGGCTCTGGTGTGCAGCCTTTGTAATGAAAAAGTTGGAGCATCTATACAGGTAATTTAATTGCACAAATGTCCATGTGTTTTGTTTTGTCAGCTTTTAGTAGATACACAAAATGTGTATCTGCAGTAAACTTTCTTTGATTTCCTTGTTGTTACTATGGACTTAATTGCACACAAAGTGCTTTTGAATGTTAGTGTGCTCTTACTTTCTAGTAAAATGTTAGTAATAATAACCAGGTCATCCCATAAGACTATAAGACTTCCTAATTTGTAGATATGCTCCTATGTTTATTAGTACACTGAAATAAAACTTAATGTTGAGTAGAGGAAAAAACCTGTATTTCTGTGATGTACCACATACAAAACCAAAGCTTGAATGCTGAAAGCTTCTGTGCTGAAACCTATCTGCTAGTCCCTATTTACGACTTCTAAGAGAAGTAGGATACCTCAGTGGGAGTTAAGTATTTCCTGTAACAACCTGAATTTTTAAGGTGCTGAGCATGCCCAGCTCTCAGTGAAGTGCACACCTTCACATTGACGATAAAGCTAGTTGTAGCTTTGAATTTCTAATTTTAGGTACTACTTAACATTGGACTGTTTTGGCTGTAACTATTTTTTCTGTAATTGTTTTACTGTTGGTCCAGCTTTTAAGTTGCTGAGGAGAATATCTGATCATTTAATATTAGGCTTTTTGAGCAGTAGGAAAGAAACAGATCGTTTGACTGGTCTGCTCTGTGCTTCAAGCAAACCACAAGCTGAGGAAATGAGCCCCGTTTCCTCCACTGGTTGTGGGTAGATTCCGGAGCTCTTGGTGTTTCTAAGGGGTAAAAAAACCTCCTGGGTGTGAGCTTCCCGGTTCACATGGCTGTCGCAGCAGTGCCGCATTATCGTTCTGACTTCGGGTACTCATTTGAGCTCAGGGATGATGACTGCCCGAAACAGCGAGATGGGCAGAATCAAAACAAATGTCTAGTCTTCATAGTTCCAAAAAGAATGATTTCTGTATGCAGTAAATAATTAAACTATAAAGCCAGAACTATAAAGCCGTTTGCTTCTTACCAACAACTCACATTCCTGGGCCAGTGCTAATTTGTCTCATTGCATACTTCTGAAAGTCCCTCTGCAGTTTCAGTTGGATTTGGATTCAGCCTTTCTCACCGTAGCCTGTGAATCGTTGCTGTTAAATAACTGAACTGATCTGCACCAGAGCATTTCAGACTGGGCACTGTGGTTTCACGTGCATATTTATATTGGGTTGTTACTGTGGTAAGGTTCTTCACCTTCAAAGTGCTTCATATACTTCAGACAATGATCCTCAGAAAGCTCCCTGAGACAGATAGGAAGATATTACCGTCTCATAAGAAGTCTGCAGAAGTGGAGCTCTTTCTATTTTGTGGCTAGCGTAATGTTACAGGAGCCATGGTGGTAAGACCAGCATTAAGACACAGAAATTTCTGAAGTCCTACGCTTTTTTAAACTTAGGTTTTATCCATTTCCTTTTTTCCTCTGCTCTGAGTCATTTGATGAGGTTGCCAGAAAAAGTTGTAAAACAGCAATGCAGCAGTAGTTCCAGTGAAACCTATCAGTCCGTTTCCGTTTGAGGAATGTATAAAATAGTAAATGTTAAGCAGAGAAAATAAATCTGTCCACAGCATATAAATTTGCAATCGTAATACCTCCTTGCAGAGCTGTCCCCTTCCTCTTGGCCGCTGTTTCGTCGTTGAAACTGTTTTGTCCATTCTCCAGACCTGTTCTGAGGGGTAACTTACAGTAGTTTAAGTTGAACACTTGAGTATTTGTGTATGTTAGTGTACAGGGGAGAGGGGAGTGTCCCTCCATGTTTCTTCTGCTACCACCTCTCCCCTTCTAGTGACGACAGAGGATGACATACAGGCACGATGGCTGCCACTTCAGACAGTTCTACATTTGAAATTATGGGGGAGAGACAAAAAATTACAGTTTTGCCTGACATTTTACAGGAGTTGTGTAAATCTCGGTATCATTAAAGCTAGCAGTGAGAAAGATTTAGATCTGTGCTGTGAAATTTTACACAGCAGAGAAGAACATTATACAAAGCCACTGCAATAGAAAGGAAGTAGCATTAACTGGATGAACTGAGAGAGAGAGATCCTCCAGAGATGTTATGAGATGTGCAGAACAATTAGAAAAGCTGGCAGCTGGAAGGATGTGTCAGGCTGGGCAGAGAGCAGCTGCAATACGCTGGGAAAACCGAGACTGCATATTCTCCCAGGTTCCTTCCATGAGACAGGCTTTCCCCTCTTCTCCCAATAAAACATTAGCTGTGCTGCGAGCTGATTATTCTCAAGAGTACAAGCTTGGAAACCATGGCTAAAGTACTCTTCTGTACTGTTTGGTGTTCCCATTGGGCTGCTTTTGCCCTCTTCATTAGTAAGAGAGGAAAGGGCAAAAGATGCTTTGGTATTTTTTAATTCCTTTTAGATGTTGATTTTATTAAAGAATGTTCTTTTGAAACTTCTGCAGTTTAAACTCTGTTGTACCTTTATATGCCATCTGGTTGCTGAGTCAACCTGAGCAGGAAAACCCAGAGGAGAAAGATACTTGGCTTCTTTACAAAGTACTGTATAAACATCCTAGTGCAATGCATTTCTCTTTAAGGTTAGATGACTTGGGTTAAGCAAATTTTGTTTCCTCCTAGTTAATAGCACTAATGTTCATTTCCACTTTAAATTCTTTTCACTGGAGGCAGACGTGTGAATTGATACAAATGCATATGTATGCGTGTGTGTATATACATACATATATGTATTTAAACCTTTCAGTTTGTGGCTGGCAATAGCTATGACAGCATTTTGCAAGAGAAAGTTACATATAATTGAAGTGCTAAATCAGCTGAACTAGTGCCCATCACTCCATGACGGCTGGGTTCACTGGGAGGGAAGAAAAATGTCAAAAAAGAGAATTTCCTGTTCTCTTCATCCCCTAGGTGAAGTGAAGGCTGTAGTCAGTGAAGTAGTGATTGACAGTGATTTAATATTTGACATTATAAAGTTGGGTAACGGGAAAAAAAATTCCCCTTGGTTGAGGCCTTTTGGGTAGTACGGGTCCAGGTGCTGGGAAAGACTTTTAATTAAAACTACCAGACTGGCCTGGAGCCACCGAGATCTTTTTCCCCCTTTCTCATGCTGGCACAGTCAAAGGGGGAACGTTTTCCTTTGTGTAACACTGCCTTACGTGAGCGGCTCCGGTGACGGCAAGAACGCTCCTCTTGTGGATTTGCTGGTTATTGAATAGCATGCTTGGGCTAGGGAGGGGTTAACCACTCCTGTCCCACTGGGCCACTTGATCATTGCCTGGCCTGAAAGCACTAAATCATAAACCTAATTAAGAGAGAGCAAGAAACTACATGCAGCTTAGAAGCAGAGCGGGGTAGCAGGGTTGTTCTTCCAAAGCAGTCCTGGCTGCTCGAATAGTTTTAGGCAGTGTGGCTTCTTAAATTTATATTTGATTAATTTTAATTTAATTTCTGTAGTGTTCAGTGAAGAACTGCAGAACAGCCTTCCACGTCACCTGCGCATTTGACCGTGGCTTGGAGATGAAGACCATACTGGCAGAGAATGATGAGGTGAAATTTAAGTCATACTGTCCCAAGCACAGCTCCACCAAGAAAGATGATGAGACTTTCAGTGAAAGCCCAGGTCCGGAGAACGGGAACGGGATTCGGGACAGCTCTCTTCCTGCCCACATCGACCCTTTCCACAGCATGGATCAAAACCAGGAGGAGGCCCACAGAGTCAGCCTCCGCAAGCAGAAGCTCCAGCAGCTGGAGGATGAGTTCTATACGTTTGTCGAGTCTTTGGAAGTGGCGAAAGCGCTGCAGCTGCCCGAGGAGCCGGTGGGATTCCTTTACCAGTACTGGAAGCTGAAGAGAAAAGCCAACTTCAATAAGCCTTTGATTACCCCAAAGAAGGATGAAGAGGACAATCTGGCCAAACGGGAACAGGATGTTCTGTTCAGAAGATTGCAGCTCTTCACACACCTCCGGCAGGATCTAGAGCGGGTAAGCCACTGCACTGCCTGCGCTTGTGCGAGGTGTGCTGGCCTTCGTTAGCTGAGTTTCCAAACTACGCTCTCGGTTACTGCCCTTGCGTGCAGGCACTCCATGCTGCATCTTAACTGAAAGTTGTATTGTCAGAAAAGACCGTTAACACTAAACTTTTACAGAGCACACCAATTACCCTTTTCGAATTGAGGGTTTGTTCACAGGGCCAGCAGGTCTTGGCTTGTAGTATCCAATCTCCTTACAACTGGACTGTTGTATTTCCGCTTAATGCTTTTTTACTGATTAACACTGATGGCTGTGGACTGTACTGCAACCCCCAGCTGGAGTTTTTTTTGGCCTTTAAGGGCTTTCTCTGCTCCTTCCATCTGGTGCACCTTGATTTGCAGCAGATCTGTTTTTCATAGGCACGGCATAGTGGGATGACATTTCACTGGACTATCTGTGTAGTAGGTTTGGGAGGCACAGGATATTCCACTCAGGTTTCGAATGTTTAAAGAACAGTTCAGTAGGATCAGTTTATCTTAAGTACATCTGATCCTGTAACGACCTGAATTCCTTCCTTTTTGGGTTTGTTTTTTTTTTGGGGTTAACTAGTAGAGTTAAAGATGTGTTAAGAGCCAGAAAGAGTACTGAAATTATTTTAGTTTATCACGTCCATACAGTATATGGTTCGTGTAGGCCACATATGGAACCCAGCTCAGGAGGTCCTACCTCATCCCTGGTAACCTGCGGGTGAACTACAGCCGTTCTTCCAGAATACTGTCTAGTCTTTACATCAGGACAGCAGGTGCTCGTGTGTCTACTGCATCCTTTGTAAAGGATCCTGGTGGCTAATTACTCTTCCAACGAATCGTTGCAGGTTTTCTTTTGAAGTTTTTTTTTCTAGTTTCTACTCCCAGCCCATGACCCTTTTCTAGCTTGGCGAGATAGCTGTTACCTAGTATCTTTTGTTTCTGCTCCGTGTGCTCAAGATTTCTTTTAATGTTCTCTTTGATCAGCTAAATAAGTTGAGCTTGTCACTATGTTCTCTGGATCTTAAATATTCTGTATGTATTCTTTCCATTTTTAAGTGTGATGTCAAAACAGGATACGTCGTTCTACTAGTATTTTTAATATTTTACTACTCCATTGTTCCCACTGATTGTACATCCAAGACAACTCGGATGAAAAAAAAATAAAAAATGGGGCCTACTTTTTTTCTCCTGCTCAAGATAGAGTTGGGTAGACTTGATTATGAATGACATTAGTGACAGTGTCATCCACCTAGACACAGATTTTGAAATCGTGTTATCCCATTCACCTAATGAAACAGGTATGTCTGTGGACATGACGCATCTGTTGTGCAGCTTGGATCAGACAAGGCGAAGAACAAAAGGCGTGGACTGCATCAGAAAGGGTACCAGGCTAGACAAGTCCCTTCTGATTCAAATCCACAGAGTAATGGCAGTTACTTAGAAGTACTGGCTGCCCTGGGACTGGAAGCCTTAAACAGAGCAGGACTTTAGCAAAAACAAGTCACACTTGTTCAGTGTCTCCTCCTTAATGGTTGTGAGATCAGCCTGCAAGGTTGCAATCCACAGGGCACCACGCTGTATGCAGCTACGCTGAATGGAGCAAGGAGCTGTGGAAACACCCACAAGTATACTTCTCGGCGATTCCTCATCTGGGGAAGAAATAACTTCTAAGCTCTAGGAGAGCAGTAGCTGTGAAACTTACACAGCTGTCGAGATTAGACAGTCACACTTTAAGGGCAGAAATGTAATTTTCTTCTAAAAAAACCTGATAGCCAAAATATATAATAATTTTGTTATGTTTCCAGTCCCTGCTTACCTCCATTGTGCTATGGCATGAATAGACTGGCCTGCCTTTGTTTTGATCAATCATACGGCAATGGCAGGGTTATCATAAAGACTGGTACTGTTGAATAGCTCTCGACATTTTCGTGCTATTAAGTATAATTTTCTGTTGTCTCTCAAACAATAAGAAGCAAATGGTGCTAGGTTATTTAATACTGAGTATATTTAAGCATTTCTAGCATTTCTCTAGATTTCCTGATTCAGGGGTTCACAGAAGTTACTTCTGTGCTGTGGCCCTCTCAAATCTGATGGAATAATCTGTCAATTAAATGGTATTTAAGACTCTTTTCTAAGAAGTGTGTTGAAGAAGGTTAAATTTAAATACATTCTTAACTTGTTTAAACGGTGTATCATACTTAAACTGAATTAATTCAAAGCAGATTGACAACATTATAGGAACACAATTCCTATAAAACTCATCAACGTGATGTCTTCTAGGTGCGTAATCTCACTTACATGGTGACCCGAAGGGAAAAAATCAAGAGATCTGTTTGCAAAGTTCAAGAACAGATATTTAATATCTACGCAAAGCAGCTGGAACAAGAAAGAGTTTCAGGTATGCTTCGGTGTTATCTTTTTCACATAAGACCACAGGCACAAGCATTGAAAGGTTTGGTTACAGGCTAATGACTAATTTTGAAGGACAAACAGGACCTCATTTATTCTCATTAAAATCTTGTGTAGTCCACCATGCATCAGCAGATTGGAAGAAAAAATGAGAATCTGTGTAGCTCTAATGATGGGCACATTGCTACAGAAACTGGTAAGTCTGTGTTCTTATCCGTGGGGCACTGAACGGCTTGCTGCTTCAGATCCTTTCTGGTGCGATTCTTAATGACTCCTTGTGACAGGGAGACCGAGACTTACATTCACGTACCATATGGTACCTAGTAAGTCTGTGGTTTATTAGTGCCGCTGCATTAGTGTTTAGTATGTGCTGCTTTGCATCCTAGATAGCAGTTTAAAGAAATGAATTTTGAAAAGGTAGGACTCGGGTCTTAAAACAACATGGGGTTTTTTTTGCCTAATCTCATTGACAGTAGTCTTTCCTCAGAAAGATGAATAACTTCAAAGTTACTGCATTAACTAGATTATCCTTAAAGTATTCAGTAACTAATAAACCGTATTTTAGACAGAAACAATCAGATCCACTTGCTCATTGCTTCCCCCCCCCCTCTCTGAGGAGTCTCTGTCTTAGTGGATATAGTAGTGCTAGGATTTACATTTGGTACAAGTGTAATTAGGTGCAGCACGGCTACAAGAAAGAAAAACCACACCAGCAGTATGTTGCGAAACCATAACATAGCTGCATAATTGTGATGTAAAGGTGCTGGATAGGCAACCGAATACCCATATATGCTGAAGAACATGTCAGGCATGAGGAACAGAGTTAAAAGAGGTGCATTCAAACATCGTATTTACCCAGACATGGACTTGCTTGACTTTAACTTGATTTGTTTACATTTAGGTGTGCCTTCCTCATTCTTCTCAATGGAAAACACGGTGTTGTTCAATAGTCCATCTTTGGGCCCCAACGCTCCTAAGATAGAGGATTTGAAATGGCATTCTGCATTCTTCAGGAAACAAATGGGCACATCTCTAACCCACTCTTTGAAAAAAACGCACAAGAGAGACAGAGTAAGAAACAGCTCTGGGAGTGACAGCAAATCCATGCTGAGGCAGCCCAGCCAAAGGGAAGGCAGTGCAGCTCCCGGTAGCTTTTTAAGTTTTGACAAGACCTTTGCAGAAACACGGATTGTATCAGCACAGCAAAAAAATGGCATAGTTATACCAGACCACAGAAAAAGAAGAGACAATCGTCCACAATGTGAGGTGATCAAGGCAGAACTAACGGAAAAGACTTCTAAACACAACCACAAACCACTGAGACCCACAGAACTCTATCAGAGGCAATCAGAAAATAAAAGGGCTGTGAACCACTCCAGTGGTAGGTCAGCACCTGGCACACGGAGGGATATAGTGCCTAAATGCAATGGGGGTCTTGTCAAAGTAAACTCTAATCAGACAGTAGTTAAAGTGCCTACGACGCCCACAAGCCCAGTGAAAAACTGGGGCGGATTCCGAATTCCAAAGAAGGGGGAGAGGCAACAGCAGGGCGAGAGCCCGGAGGAGACCTGCCGCCAGAACTCCAGCTACCCCTACCTGGGCGTGGGCAGAGTTTCACCGAAGGACAGGGCAAAAAGCAAGCTAAAGCCTGACAGCGAGAATGATGGGTACATCCCTGATGCCGAAATGAGCGACTCGGAGACTGAAGTGGCTGAAAAAAAGTGCAGGCAGCAGAGGCTCAGTCCGAACAGCACTATCAGCAGAAGGACGGACATTATTAGGAGAAGCATCCTGGCATCCTGACTGGACACAGGGACACAGTGTCAGCACTGTGGTCAGTACAGTCACTGCCTACAAGCCAACTCCACATTATTTATTGGTGTGAGAGAGGAGACTTCTTAGACATGGCTACAGACTGACAAATTGATAACCCATTATTCCTGAGCTGTATAAACATGTTTACATGCACTTAAAGCTGTTTGTTTTTGTCCCCACCCCCCCCACCCCCGCAAATTCTGAGAAGTTTGAATCCCCTTTATTTGCAACTTAGTACTGAGTAAGCAGAGAAATGACATCGCTACTAAAATAGGATTTGTGATGAACACTAAGGTAACTCACAAAAACCTTTCAGAAGGGGCTAGGGTGGGTCGGGGGAAGTAGGCAGCATTCATCCCTTTTAGCTAAAAAGCACTGATAAAAATGTACTCCCGTCCCCTGCCTTCTGGAAAAGCACAAGCTCTTAATTTAATTAGTGTGTATTGAATCGAAGATGGTTGTTTAACCATTCTGCACTGCTAAACCCCATTACAAATGGTCACTTTCCTTGGATGGTGGTAGGTCTTTCTCCTCTGTTTGCAGCACATTTTCTGTTGCATTCAGTTTGAGCATAGACGGCCGCGCAGAACCCCTCCATAAGCTCCAGAGTTTACATGTAAATACACCTACGAGATGACCAGTAACCATGCCGTTATACTGGAGAAGGAGGGAGGGACAGGTCAGGGCTGCAGCTGCTTTACAGCGCAACAGCTTGGAAAGGCTCAGACTGCGCACAGAGGACACCCTGGAACGGCTCAGTTCTGGGTAAGAGTTACTGCACCCCCTGGAATAACCCGTCACCGTTTTAGTCAGTCACCTGCCTCTGGGAGTAGGATGACAATTCAAGAAGAGAATTTCTAAGGCACTAGTCAGTAGGATTTCCCAAATCCCACCACATATGCACTAATGGTATGTATTGGGAAAGCCAGGCTTATGACACTAAAGAGTTGCTTTAAAATAGACAGGAATATATATTTTTAAATAGAGTAAAATGGAAAGGCAATAAATTGTGATTAGCTCTTCACAGTCAAATGAAGAAAAAATATTTCTATTCTGGACTAGATTTGATGGAAGAGGGAACTCATATTCTGAGCGTGTACTTTTTTTAAATAATTGCAAATGGCAATAACTAGTATGCTATGAGCAATAATATTAACAGATCATTAGGATACTGTTTTGTACCGAGTAGAGTGCGCATATAACAGTGGAGTGTTAGGAGCCTGTAAATTTTGGAATTCTGCATAGATGTAAGTCAGGTACGTACTGGTAAAAAAGTTTAAGCAGCAATGTGTTACAGAAAGACAGGCATAAAGAACCCCTCCCCCCCCTTCTACTCCTAGCCTGCCGTTATCACATCCACTCACTTTTTAATGTTAGACCCTTGCGTCTTGAACCGGGAACATTTAAAACACAGTAGAACTCTGCCATAACTGAGTCTTCCAGAGGATTCAATTGAAAATAATAATAAAAAAAAAGCTTATTAACACCCTATCTTGCTATGCAAGTTATCAATTAAATATTTCAACAGAATGCATCCCTATCATTTGTTTTAAAACTCAGAAGTCTTAACCTTTTGATACCTTTTGGGATGATGTTGAGGAAGGGGCATTTTGTGTAAGATAGTGTACTTTTAAAATACCATTGTTGGTCCCAAGAAGTTAGATTAACTTCGTAACTTACAGAGGTGAAAGTCGACCAGGGCACTGGTGAATCTGAAATTACGTAGTCACTCTTGGGATGTGTTAAAAGAAAAGTACTTCTTTGATCAAACAACAACAGACAGACAAAAGGTAAATGCAGGTAAGTTCTACTCGACATACAGCAACATTTTCCAGACAGGCACTGTTGTTTTCTGTAAGAAAGAAGCTCATGACCCTATAGGGAATTATTTGTCAAGCCATAGATGGAATAATCTAAATTTTGATTCTAAGTAAACATCTAACCTCACTCCAGTTTGGAAGAGGTACCTTGTTAATTTGCACTATTATGAATGCTAACGTTGTGCAGAATTAATGCCTTATCTGATTTGCTCCCCGACGTTTAGGTTAATAAGCTTTCTAATGTTTCAAGTTAAGCTGAACCAAAACCAAAAAAGCCGTAAGAAGACTGCAGTATGACCAGCGCCGTAGGTTAGTTTTGTCTCCCATGCTTAGCGCTCAGCAGAAGAGGTGTCGTTAAGTACAGCAGTGACAATACAAACCCACCCCTGTATTTTATTGGGATAGAACCATTTGCTGAATTTCTGTTTTTAAGCATTACCTTTCCTTGTGCAGACTGACCAAGAGATCTTTGATTACGATTGGTGTATTCTGTCAAACTGTAGGGTAGTTGAACTTCTGTAAAGTTGCCTGGAATGCCATTTGTTAGGTTATAAACTCACACAAATCTAAATGAAGGGTTATACGTGTTGTGTATAAATCTTAATTTCAGAAATTTGAGAAAACTGTCATTACATTTGTAAAACTTTGTACAGAAGATTTTTCACTATGTGCCTAGCTTTGGTGTCCATTCAGCTGAAATTAATTAAAAAAGGTGCATGAAGAGAAACAGATAGAAATAAAAAGTATATGTAGAGATGACTATTTTATATTACACGGCCCAATCCTGTATTTATTTTCTCCCTTTTTTGAAGTATTTATAAAGACCTAGTTGAAGACAGCTGTATTTTTTGTTAAAATATTCAGTAGAATTGTGCCTTTTTGTCTGTATGTGAATAAATGCTGTACATTTTTGCAGTATCCTTGCCAGCAGTGTTTTAGAATTTGCAGCAGTTATTTTGTTTGCGTTTTTACATAAACACTTCACTGCAATGATATGAACAACTTTCATGGTTAAAACAAGCATTTAATTTGGATTATTACAGGTATCAAAATGCACACTGCAGTTGCAAGAGAAAGTTTGGTTTTTTTTTTTTTTGAGGAATAGTATAGGCTCTTGTTAGTGACAGGCGCTATGCTTATCAACAGAAAATTGTATGCTTTTTTCCTTGAGAACCTCAAAAAGATGTTGCTTACCTCAAATAGTTCACATTTGTTGATGTCCTTCCAAAGTCCATAATCTTAATACATGTTCCACTGGAAGAGGAACATGAAGTTTCTTACCCGTAGATCTTCAAGATAAGTACGCTGAATGTGCATTCACACTATGAACTGCCTATAGTCAAGCAATGCTGACAGAACATTTGCTGCTATAGCAGGAGCTCTAGGAGACAAGCCATGAAGGGAACAGTAGGTCTTTCCTCTTGCTTCCTCTAAACTCAAGATGCAGAAACATGGAGTGGACTTGGAGCAGAGCAAGAAAAGGATAAGCTTGTGAAGGCACACGTCTAGCAATACATCTTGAAAAACAGCTATGGGTAAATAATTTTTTTCAGATCTGTACTTGTATCACATGCATTCACATTGTGGACAACTGTGAGTGGCACCCCCTCAAAAACATGTTCCAAAGAATGAAGATTAAAGGATGGCCCTCTAAGAGTACTTAGTGCAAGCTCTTCAAGGCATGAATAGGAGTCTGAAAGAGGTTGTTGCAGCTGCTTTATAGATCTTGCTGACAGCAGCCCTTCTGAAAGGCACTGCACTGCTGGGGTTACCTGAGTAAGACTGGGCCAGAGCTGAGGGCAGCTTGCTCATCACTTAAATAGACTGAAAAAGTTTCTTGTATGCAGTGATACATCTTTCAAGATCTGGCCTATGCCAGAAGGTATAGGGCTCTTGGGAAGAGCCAAAATGAAACTCCTACTACCTTCATAGTCAGTTTCTTTCACCTGTTGAATGGAACTAACTATTCACCTAGAAACTTTTCCTAAATAGTTAAGAACAAATTTTTACTCCATGGGAAGCATTCATATCACACTAGGGAATCTTTAAAACACTCAAAAACCTGGTGTCGGGGTGGGAAGGGAAGGTAGGGGAAACAAAAAATTTTCAAAGGAAGCGTGACAAGAAATACATAGATAGAAACAAATGTAAAACAACCCAGACAGATGGTTGAAAAGCCTGCTGCGCAATTCCATGAAACAATCTAGTATCATTTCTAACCAGCAAGCCTCAAATTGCAATTGCCTCAGCAAGCACCTTTCCTCTGAAAGTCCAATTTGTGAGCAACGTGCCAGCAGCCTCCTCTAGAAGCCAAACGGAAATGAAAGGAGGTGGTGTTAGGATGACGAGCTTAACTTGACCACATTCCCTTTTGCGGTTGAGAGAGATCTATTTGGTCAATTTTTAGCTGCTCAGAGGATTATGCAGACAGATGAAAAGTGGGAAATCTTTTTCCTTCCCGCGTCATCTGCCGTAATTGCTCTGCTACCCCTTAACTTTACTATTAGGTGCTTGTGTCATCATTGCAGTTCATGTTGTGGCAAACAACATTACACAAGAGCTACACCACAAGTTGAAATGAATATACCCGTAATTAAAAGGGAACCGAGCCGGTGCCCTTCTGTGCTTCAGGGAACAAAAACACAAATACTGTTGCTCAAAAACTTACACTTACCTGCTGTTTTCAGCCAGGTTTCAATTCACAGCTAAAGCCTCTCTTTAAGGAGTGAATGGGATTAATAGCTCACACAAAATCTTCCATCCAGGTGGTCTGTCATCATCTCAGATGTGCATTATGCAAATAAAAATAAGGTGCTTGGTACTTACCTCCCTCTGTATCATACACACAGTTGACTGATGAAAATCTCGCCACAACAGACGTTTGGAGCTTCTGGACAATGTATCCATGTTGCTTTGAAAAATCTGTGAAGTCTTTTAGCAAAATTAGAGATTGCAATGGATACAGGCATGTATCAAACTGAGAAAGCACTAGTAAAGTAGTGTGTACAGCTGTAGGAAACAGTAGCTTCCTCTGCGATAAGCAGAAAATTTTCTTGATGTTGCGTCCATCTTGCAGGCTGTACTTGAACAGCCAAGTTTTCAGGAGGTGGCACAAAACTCTTCCTTCTGTGTGGTGATCAACTCAGGCCTGTCCTTCAAAATGCAAAC